TGTGTGAGTCGAAGGGTCTGGATAGGAGAACAGCTGCTGAGACTATTCGTGGACTGCGCGAGACGAGGACGAACCGGTCATCCGGAGCCATTCTTTCCCCATCAGACAGGCTTAGCGATCGCACGCATAACAGTCGAAGACGAGTCATCACCCCCACTTGTCTCACTCTTTCACCACGCTCGTCCACGCTCTCTCACCCTCTGCACACCTCATCCCCACATCACCCTCTCTCTCTCTCTCCGACCACTCACACACCTCGTCCCCCCTTTAGCATCCGCTAAACCTCGCATCCCCCCTCATCCCGCATCTGCATCCTCCACTCCTCCAGCCTTGCGTCTTTCATCTTATCTCTGTTTCATTTCGCGCTCTCGGTCATACAAAACCTTCCATGAATCCGTCCGAATGTGCGACTGCTCTCTCTGGCCCGATGCCACACACATCTCTCACCGTCTCACGGCACAACGTCGCTATCAAAGTCGAAAAGAGTTCAAACCATTGCAAAAAAGGCGAAACTGACGATCGCACTTTCACCCTGCCCGATGGCCATCCAACATCGACCTCAGACTCTTGACCGTTCGAGCCAACATGATCGCACCTCCCTTCGTCAAGCCCTGCACCGCCGCCTCATCTCCGTCCCCCTCTCCGCTGATCTCACTTCCACTGCTCTGCAACAATCCCTCTGCTCTCTCCACCACCTTTTTCAGATTGCCCGATTTCAGGTAGAACAGCTCCACCTCCTGCTCGAACCCTTCCGGCTTGTTCTCCAGTACCTTCTTGACGAACCCGCGCGACAGGATGTACGCCTTCTCATTGTAGTTCTTGGAGACCAGCTTGCTTTCCTCTTTGCCCTTCAGTTTCTCGTACGCCGGTTCGGTAAAGTACGGTTCCCTAACAAGCACCAGAGCCTGAATGGAGACAAAGACTTGAAGTAGAGAACTCTTGCTCGGCGTCCAGTTCTCTTCTGCCACACCGGACCACGTACCCAACACCGAAAGGCACACTTTGCCGTCTTCGTACAGATTGGGCGAGACGCGTCCGTGACCGTTGGTCCACGAGTGGAAGTGCGCGACGGGTGGACCGTTGGGGAAATCGGCGGTGAGCTGGAAATCCAACAGGAAGGGCGCGTTCTCGTATGGCGTGCCCTCGGAGCCGATAATGAGGACGCGAAGGAGGTCAGAGCGGTCTTCGTAGGCTCTCACGAGGATGGTTTCGGGAAGTGAATTTTGAAGCACCTTCATCTCCTTCTGGAGCCGCTTGAAGAAGGAGGCTCCGGGCTGGGTGGTGAGGGGTTTCGAGTAGAAGTGGTGCGAGGTGGGCGCGGATTCGAGGACGGCGAATTGGTTCCACTCGCTGGCGCTGCTCGCTGCGGCGAGTTCGGTGGGTGCGGATGGCTCTTCCGACGCTCCTGCATCCGAAGATGGAATAATGGCCTCCATTGCCTTGTGCGCGGTGTCGTTCGCCTCGACCTCAGAAGGTGCAACCGACTCGACCTTAGCAGCATCTCCCTGAACTTCATCAGGCTCTTCGACGTGGATTTCGGCGACTTCTGGCGCGCCTCCCTCCGACATGTCTTCCCAATCGTCCCTTGCATTGCCCACCTCTTGACCGTCCTGGTCAACCCACATGGCATCCTCGGCCGAGTCGTAGTCGTCGTCATCGTCGTCATACATATCATCGTCCGCACCCACGTTCCATGGATCATGCATGTCGTCGCCATCCATCACGACGTGCTCGTGCATGCCGAAGCTCGAGTCAGACAAGATTTGCAACTTGTCGAGCTTCTCGATCACTGCCTTGCCGCACGGCAATCGAACGCGGCACCTACCGTCAAGGAGCAACTCTTCGACGATGCCGTACCAGTCGATTTCTGTAGCTTCTGATGCGGGTCTCGCCTTTTTGTCGCTGGGACCCTGCATGGCGACGATGGTCATCTCGGCGTTCATGAGATCCTCGTGCATCTTGTGGTCATCGTAGTCCGGACGTGGATCTCCAATCGTGGTCAGGAAGGGGCCCGCCCAGCCAGTGGGACGTTCCGAGATCATGACCGGATCTCCACGGTGCAGGCTGAAGACACTGTGGTCGGCTCCCTGCACATCCACTTCGAGCGAAGGGACCAGTTCGACCTCGGCTGGTTCGGACAGAGGGACGCGTAGCTCGGCGGTGCGCTCGAGACAATCCATGCTCTGCACGACGCGCGGCACGCTGCCGTGCTCCTCAGACTTCCAGTAGATCCAGTCACCTGGCCAGGCTTCGTGCTCGTCAAGATTCATGTGAGGAATCATGTTGCTAGCCTGTTCCTTGGTGCGTGTGCCATCCTGCCAAAGCACGTCGAGTTCCGTTTTGGTACCGACGATGAGCATCACTTCGACAGGATGACGTTGACGGCCGTGGTAGGTGACCTTGGCGCCGTACTTGTCCTTAAGCTCTGGCGTTCGGAAGGCGACGCGGTCTCCAATCTCGTGGTGGCGCTCTGAAAAGGCCTTGACCAGGGTGAGCTTGCTGTAGTCGGTCCAGAGCGCCGGTGGCTTGGGTCTCTTATCCTGCTCCTCTGGGCTGAGCTTCTGATTGAGCGCAAGCCAGTTGATGTAGATTACGGTCTGCTTGATGTCAACGATGGACGCCTCCCTAATGCCGAGCTGGACGAGGTTGATGCCGATCTGGTCCTCTCCCATGTGTTCGGCGGGGATGTTTCCGAGGAGGAGCCTTCCCCCCATCTCGCAGACGCGCACGAGTCTATCGTTGTCTGGATTGCCGACGAGTGCTTCCTCGACGACCATGTCAATCTCACCAATCCAGTCATTGGCAATGACGAGGTCACCGCGATTGAGGTAATTGCTCTTGACGACATGGTCCGCCGGGACGAGCTGATCGATCTCTTCTCTGCTGAAGAGATGCTGAAGCTTGAGCTTGTTGTTGGAAGATGTCACGACGCCGGAGTTTAGGTCACTCGGTGATCGCTTGCAAGTAGAACCCACGGCGAAGACTCGGTCGACGAGATCTAGTTCGTTGACTGAGACGATCTCCCTCTTTCCCGAAGGATACCAGAGCACACCATACTCGTCCTCCTTGAGCTGGCGGTCTAGTCCCGTCTTGGCGAAGCTGTTGGGGTCAGCCTCGCTCTCGTCGAGGTAGCATCTCGAGACCATGCCGACTTTGCAATCTTCATTCTTGTCCTGCTTAAGGTGCACCACATCGGAGCGAAAGAGACGAGGGGAAGACTGTGTTGCCATGGTGCTCGGAGCAGTCATCCTTCGCTGCAGAGGCACCGTCCAAATGCGAAGGACGGAAGCGAGACTTGCTTGGTGCGATGAAGGTGGTGGAAGATCGCCAAAGAATCCTCGAGGGGTGAAAATGGAATCTGGCTTTGAAAAGCAATGCTGTGCACGAATGAAAGGGACTTGACTGCGCAGCAACGCAGGTGCAAGATGGACCTAGCCGCTATTATTGAGGTTCGAGTGGGCGCGCAGCTTCTTGACTTTCGGCTAGGTTAGCGTCGGGAGCGCCGATCCAGGTGATCCGAACCCACAGCCGTCAAAATGTGAGTATGGCGGGTCTGTCTGTTTGTGATGATAGGGAGAGAATCACAGAAGTCGGAGACGCAGCGTCGGGTGTGATTGCGTCCAGGTCCAGTAATGCAAAGTGATGAACAAGTGTGTGGGACCCTTTCACTTTTTGGCTCAGCATTCAGAAGAAATGTGAATTGCACACTGCACACTGTGTAGCTTCGCCGTTTTTTTTGGACGTGCAAGTCGTAACGCACACACGACTTGAAGCGGCTTGAACGCCTGGTCGAGGCTTGTTAGATCCGATTGCTCGAAAGTAACACTCCGACTTCCGACTCGAGCCTCGCTCGCACGGGGGGCGGCTCCTCCACGCAAAGCAACACAACAACCGAATCAGTGCGATACCACATCGACCGCCACACTCGCCTTTACGGCTGATCCGAGCAAGGCTGAACTTCTTGGTCAGTCGCCGTCGCAAGCTGAACGAGCCAGATCTCTCCGCCCTCGGACAACCTGTCATCGAGGCTGTCAGAGCAGCTAGCAAGCCAGCAAGTCAGCGCTATCGACGTTCGGCGCCTCCGGCCTCCCATTGCACACACACAACCTTCATGATGAGATAGGAGCCACCAACCTCTTCATCCTTTCTCACCGCAATGTCCTCCACGGAGCCTTGCGCAGTGTGCCTGCAGCCTTGGCAAGTGGTGCTCGGCACGACCGCTCAGGACGACTTCCAGCCCGAAAGCTCGCGTCACGCGGTCCTCCGCCATAAGCTGCAACGCAACGATGTCACCTTCCTCGCTGGCAGGGAGCCACGCGATAGCATCACCGTTCAGGCAAGCTTCGATCAGGTCTGCGTTCTCTCACGCGACCAGCGTTTCGACCAGGCTCTTCCATTCTGGCACGCCTTCTCAGGCTCTCAAAACGCCGACCAACCCATCTCCTGCACCGCTGTCGGACTCTCTGCCGAGCGCGATCACATCTTCGTCGCCGCTGCAACAGACCACAGAATAGCGGTATGGTCTGCCCCAGCTATGTCATCTACGCTGTCGCGCAAGTGGAAGGTGCATTCGACACTGACCGTCAACGAGGGCGTCGTCACCACGCTTGATATCAATCGTGGTCAGCTTCTAACAGGGACCACCTCTAGCCTCGCTCTCTGGAGGCTCGACTCTTCCGATATCCCAATATGGAAACGCTTTTGGAACTTATCAGTTCCCGCGCCTGTCAGCGTCGCTCGACTGTCTCCGGATGCGACCACCATTGCCGCCGTTGCTCGAGGCGGCCAGTACATTCTGTTGTGGCAATATCAGCCGAGATCGACCAAGCCACCAGTCTTGCAACAGCATCTCTACCATCCACGTCCCGTCACGAGTCTCGCATGGAGACATCCGCCAGAACTCAATAGTCAAGCTGACGTCCTGATCTCGCACGCTTCCGACGGCGTCGCTCGCATGTGGGCGCCGGTCATAGACGAACCCACACAGCTGCGATTGTGGTGCAGCGTCCAGGGGACTCACTCGTCGGCGTTCTCAGACACCACAGCCACCTTTTACCTCGATGCATACGTGCTGTCTGCAGCGCTACGCGCTAACATCGGTGTTCTGCAGAGGGAGATTCAGATGGCCGAATTGGGCGTTGGAAGCTCAACTGAGCTGGATGTGCACAGGCTTGAACTTGACATGGACCTCCGTCGAACCAGGCTGCGACGGCTCGAGCAATTGGTCAACGAAACGCCAGACATGTTTGTTTCGTTGGAACAAGACAGGTTTCTCAATGTGACCGCCGTCGCCAACGTCGATCGACGCCCGCCCACCCTTTTGCAGGCGCTAACAGTGCTACGCATCCCGTTCGGATCCGCCGAAGACGTCAAAGGCATTGTCGGGGTTCAGATTCTGCCACTTCACGTCGCTCCGGACGCTTCAAGCACCGATCCAATGTTGATGCTGCATGTGCAGCTCCGCTGTGGTTCGTCGACAGCATACGCCATCAACCCCGCCACCTTCTTCGATGGTCGAGGTCTCGGAATTCGACCGGATGATTGCCATCCGTGCGGCCCATCAGCTTCTCGTCACCCTTCAGCAGAAAGCCGGCGCCGGCATACAGATCGGGTTGAGTCCTTGCAGAGATCAGGCGATGGAAAGGTGCTTTTGAGCTCCTCGACTGGAGAGTCAATAGCTTGGCTATCAGACGCCTCGCCAAAGCGACCGATGGGCAGCCTACGCTGGCAGAGTTCTTTATCTTCGTCTCCCCTCGTAGCTGTCTCGTGGGACGGCTTGCTCACGGCCCAAGTAGGCAGCGATGGAGTCGGAGAGGTTCGTATGGCATCAGGTGGAGCCGCCACGCCCTTCAATTGCGATGACGACGTCCAGCACCTCACTTTCAGCCACTTCGTTGGCGTCGATGTCCTTATCGCCGTGATTGCATCTGGCGCAGTGCATTCATGGGCCGTAGCGATGGCCAACGAAGTCCGCATCATACCATGTCAAATGTCGCGTCTATGGTCTGACGTTGGCACAGACCGTCGCTTGACGCTGGTGGATTCGATATCAGGCTCTCCGGCTGAGCCGGGCAAAGGCCTCCACCTCGTTTTTGCCGACACTTTGGGCCGCTTCGAAGCAATGCACGCAACGCGTGATACTCGAGGTCAGCTTCGATGGACCGCCGTCGCGTTGTTGCGCGAATCATCCGGAATCCCTCAGCGGGTACGCTGCAATGTCGATGGCCTCTTTGCCGCAGTGACACGCGACGATCAGGGGACAGAAACGTTGGTGATTTTCGACCTTAAGACCAGCTCGTTCAGTTCAGGCGAGGAGCACAGGCAGTCCTTTGGAGCCGAGGAGAGTGTTGTCGGCTTGGACTGGTCACCATCGCCGCTGTCGAGCAACATGCTCGCTGTCGCCTTTCATCACCACGTCGACATCGTCGCTCCCAGGCGGTTCTCACCTTACGAGGCCCATGACGCGACGACAGGATCGCAGTGGCAGCTGCTCGTGCGCCTGGACCTTCGCAGCTGCACTTCAAGCGCGATTCGCGCTGCTTGCTGGATAGGCTCGGAGCAACTCGTCATCGCCTCCGGCTCTCTCCTCTTCCTGTACGGTCCCTTTGTCCAGCCTAGCTCGCAGGTTGCGGGCGAGCCGAAAAAGGTGCACTTGGCCGAGCTCGTTGCTGAAGTTGGGGGACCCGTAGTGCAGTATCACCCAGCCTTCCTGCTCCAATGCGCAATTTGGGGAAAGATGGAAGTGGCAATGGCGGTCATCAGCAATCTAGAGAATGCGGTTCTCGCCTATGACGGGCAAGACACTGGCGACTCATGGGCGTTCCAAGAGGTCCCTCTCGATGCTGTGCTACTGCACGACTCCGCGGCAGGAAATGGACGGACGAGGTCAGCTCTGCCCTCTCGGCATACTGTCGATGGCAGTATCTTTGACGAGCTCGATCGCTCCGACGATGCAGATGATTCGGGCCTCTTTGGCCTTGACAGGATCGACAGCCTCGCTCAGCGCATCCGAGATGTTCAGCCTCCGCACCTGTCTCCGTCAGACCTCGATGTGCTTGTCAATCTTGTCAAGAGCATCGGAGAAGTAGCTCGTGAACACCGAAGCTTGGACCCTTCCGGTCTGCGATACACACTCGCCCTTCGGCAGATGCTTAACCGCACAGATATGTCAAAGCAAGCGAAGAACGCACCAAGCATCGAGCTCACCTACCGCGACTACCTTTGGGCTTTCCACAGCGACAATCAGGAGACGCTGCTGGCTTATGTCGAATCCGCTTATCCAAACAAGTTGGATTGGCGTGCAGCTCGATCGGCCGGCCTTTTCACATGGCTCAAGAACCCGTCAGCACTGCGCACACAAGCAGAGGCGGTGGCCAGGGCACAGTTCATGTCGAGCGAGGATCGCGATCCGGTCAAATGTTCGCTGCTCTATTCTGCACTCGGTAAGCGCAAAGTCGTGCAGGGTCTGTGGCGACAAGCCGTCTGGCACCCTGAGCAGAAGAAGATGCTGCAATTTCTGTCGCACGACTTTGACGAGCAACGTTGGAAGACGGCTGCTCAAAAGAACGCCTTCGCTCTGCTCAGCCAACGACGCTATGAGTTTGCTGCCTCGTTCTTCATGTTGGGAGAAAGTCTGCGCGATGCTGTCAACGTCTGCGTGCGAAACTTGGACGACCTGCCTCTCGCCATCGCCCTAGCGAGAATCAAGGAAGGTTGCGATGACGGGCCCGTGTTGACGGATCTGCTAAAGACGCGAGTGCTGCCTCTTGCCTTCGAGAGGGGCGACCGTTGGATGGGCAGTTGGGCATTCTGGATGCTCAAGCGCCGGGATCTGGCGGTACGCATCATTGTTACTCCCCTGCGAGACTTGATCGCCGACAAGGATGTTGCCAGCCTACTCGGCTCTACTCTGACGTGCGGGAACGACAGCTACGGCGATCCTGCATTAGCGTTGCTGTTTCAGCAGTTGCGATCCAAATCGCTCCAAACCATCAAGGGTCTTTATGACATTCCCGAGAAAAAAGTATTTGACTTTGTTCTCAATACCAACAGAGCGTTGTGCCGCATGGGTTGCCATTCGATCGGGCTCAGTCTTCTACGGAATTGGCAGTTCGAGCCGCCATCGATGTCGAGTGCTTCGACGCTGTTCCATCGAGTGTCGAGGCACGATCTCGAGACGCTGTCAAGGGTCGACGAGACGGTGTTGTCGGAAAGCACCGACGCGTTCAGCGAGCTGCGTCTGCACGATGACAGCGGAAGAGGTCCGAAAAGCCCAACGATTCGTCGCCGCACCTCGCAAAGCACAATCTCGCCGCCGAGCAGCCCGAGGATGCATCGACGCCGTAGCAGCTTGATCAGACGCAGGTCGAGTATCATCAACGATCTCGATATCGGTGCGGCGCTGTCTTCGCAGAGTGGCAAGCAGGAAGGCAAGAACGAACTCCTCACATCTGAGGCCGGTGCTCCAAAGTCAGACGCGCAGGTGCAGGCAGAGCGTGGGCACGGCGATTCTCTCACTGCAGAACCGTCGAGCTTCACTGAGGCGAACGGGCATTCTGAGGAGAAGGAAAAAAGCGAGATGGCCTCTGCGCCGAAAAAGCAAGGAATCAGCATCTTCAAGAGCGCGGCTGCCAGCAACAGCCAACAGGGAGCACAAGAGTTTGATTTTGGCAGCTTCGGCTTTTGATCCAGTGTATCTGGCGATGCAATCATCCCTTTGCGGTATTATAAGGCTTTTGCGTCTTAGCTTGTGAGGTTCGAGCGTCGAAGCTGAGATCGTGTAGTATCCAATCGAAAGCGCAGAAGACGAATGGCCTGAACGAGCGAGAACAGGACACCATTTTGAGAGAGAGAAAGAGGCTGAAAATGTATATTGAATTTGCAAGGGAAGCGACCCAATCAATTACAGTCGAACGAGTGCTGTGCAAATTCCTTCGATGTCGGTCGTCGGGTATCGCCTAATGCAATGTTGTTGTGATGATCGAAAAGGAGAGGGAATTTACACGGCCTCGGGGGTCTTGGCGATGTAGTCGATGGCTTGTTGAACAGTGGTGATGTTGTCAGCCTCCTCGTCGGGGATCTCCTATTCAAGCGGCATTGCAACCAAGCACGGGGAAGAGAAAGGGTCAGTCGATGCGCGATTGAGAGTAGGCTGAGGTTCGTAGCAGTGCTTACGATTGTGAACTCCTCTTCGATGGCCATGACGACCTCGACGGCGTCAAGGGAATCCAAACCGAGGTCAGAGGTGAAGGACGAAGTAGCGGAGACCTGTAGGTGAGCAAAGTGGGTTAGCATTAGCATTTGTCAGTCATCATCTGCCTGAGTCATTCTGCGGATCCATCGAACGACGGCATGCCGACAGCTGGGAGCAGAGCGAACAAGCCGCCTGTTCCAAGCTGCCGCAGCCGAGTAGTATCCAGATGATCGATTGCGAAATGGGGAGATGAGGCTTCCAAAACGCACCTTGCTGGGGTCAACCTTCTCGAAAGTCTTCAAAACATCAACGATCCTGGTCTCGATGTCGGACTTGGCAAGACCTGCCGAGGCTGCGTAGAATCGGACGGGTGCGAAACGGGGAGTGACGATGGCAGCGCGGGCGACGGGGGCAGCCTGGCGAGCGATGGCCAAAGGAGCACGAGCTCGGACGAGCGAAGCAGCAGCGGATCGGAGGGCGGCAACCATTTTGAGAGGTCGAGACAAGTGTGTAATGTGTCGATTTGTGATGAGGTGATGGTAGAGGAAGAGTTGGAACTGGTTAATGATGCTGCGATGGCGACGAAATGCCAATTTTTGGAATATCTGAGCGGCGCTGAGTGCATCATCAGCGACGCCTTTTGTCTCGCAGTCTCGTAATGGAGAGCAGAACAGATCGGGTGATGACCCGATCTCACCGCCCAAAAATCGCAAAAAATCAGCTTGATCGTGCTCTGCTGCCTTAAAAGGTGAGCGCCACAGCGCAGGCCAGCCGCTGCCGTTTGAGCCCGCCGAACAAAATCTGCTGCTCTCACTCGACCGAGAGTACGTCAATTTGGCGGCTGAGAAGAACTCAAAAGCTCATTTCAGTCTAGACATCAGCAATCATCAGATGTACGCTCCGTCTCATCGTTGTCTACATCTCTTCGGCTCTGTCTCACTCACATCAGGCTCAACTAGCACACTGACGACAAGATGAAGGGCCTTGCATTCCGAAAGCTTGGCCGAACGTCGTCACATCGCAACCATTTGCTACGAAATCTGGTCTCGTCTCTCATCCAGCACGAACGCATCTCCACCACAGTAGCAAAAGCCAAGGAAGCGGCGCGAGAGGCGGAAAAGATCATCACACTAGGCAAGCGAGGTACCGTGCAGGCCGGATATGGCGCAAGAGGCTACCTCTTCTCACAGCAGGAGACGCTGCCGAAGCTGCAAGAGCTATCGCAACGCTACGCCAACCGACCCGGCGGATACACACGCATTCACCTCCACGGCAACCGAAAAGGCGATCATGCGCCACGAGCTATCCTAGAGTTGGTGGACAACCCTCACGATCTGCGCATGCAGATGACAGCGCGGACGCTGGCCAAGGAGGTCTACGACCGCATCGCGAGGCGCGGAGGCGACGACATTTTGACAGGACGACAATTCGACCTCATGACGATGGAGCAAGACGAACGATTCAATGAACTCACCCGCAAGAACATCACAAAGGTGGTGCAGTATGGCGGAGTCGAGGCAAGAGAAAAGCTTGTCAGCATGGCGCAGGATCATCTGCTGCGGCTCAAGGCGACCGTAGCTGTCGAAGGTCCCAGACGCATCGATGATGCCAAGATGGAGAGCTGGGGCGACAACAAGCCGCGTGGACGTCTTTTGACCAAGCCTTACGCTGGATCGAGACCATTGGCAGGGCAGGAGGGAGAATTCCAGCCGACACCGCTACCAGGCAAGAGCAGGAATTCGGTCGTTCGCATTGGCAAGGGTGCTTTCGCAAAGCGTCTCAACTACCGACCCAAAGTCACCATGCCTAGCTCTTCATCCAGGAGGGCTCAGGCATAGAAGCCTAGCCGGAATGCTATCGCATCGCTGTCGCTTCACCATTGGTCCCCCACCTTTTCTCCTTCTTCGCATGAATCGGCTCGGCATACTTCCTACCTACCATCATCAGCATCTCGCTCCCACAGCCTTTGTAAACTAGCTTGACCTAATCCAGTCATCGTAGGGTTCGACAATTTGAATGTGTGCCGCCTACCCTTGAGATCTGTGATGCTGAATGCGGGCGATATCTTGCTGATTGCCCCGACAAAGCTCGATATGGAGTTGCTGGTCGAGCACAAAAGTCGAAGCTACCCGAGACCCGTTTCACGACTTTGGCCAGAAGAATTAGCCAAAATGGTGAGACTCGGTTCTGTGCACGCGACCACCAAAAAATACCTTCGGAAGATCCTGCGTCTCCCGACTTACATCATCTGTCTCGACTCTTTCGACCTGCGACACTCGAGCAAATCCTCCGCCATTTGCATAGACACCTCCTCATTCATGACGGCAGCATCCTTACGGCTTTCAGACCTCTCATAAAGTGGGCAGAGCTGCAACTCCGTGGCTTTCCTCTGCGACCTCACGAGCTGCATGTCTTGGCCGTCAAGGGAGCAGTAGGCGAGACCGGGATGCTCGGCGGGCCCAGGCGGGCCGCAGAGGCAGGTCGATGGGCGCTTCGAGTCGGTGCGAGCAAGTCATACAGCGGCTTGGGTGTTTTGTATGAAGCGCTGCCGCCATCGTTCCTGTGCCCAGCCATCGAAACGCTTACATCAAAGCCGAACGCGATCACAACGACGGCCGGACCCTCCTCATCCTCGTCTGTCTCACGGCATCGATCGCAGTCTAAGAGGGCAACTCGGAGCTCACTCACGTGTGGATACTCTGCAGCAGGGCCTTTGGCCCTTGCTTCACACCTCCAATTGACTCGCGCATACTCTTCTCAAGCAGCTGTCAGCACAATTTGCGACGATGTGCGACCTGTGCACCACACCCCTCAAGGAGCTCAGTCAGATGTTTGGCATCAGCCAGGATACACACAGCACCATACGGAGGAATCAGTGAAAACACCCGCTCGGCAACCAGCTCGACCTTCGGTTGCACCATCCGACTGGCGCAGAAAGTTCCCAAGCACACAGTGGAGGAGGGAGATGGACTTCAATCGGTTTAGTCCGCCGCTGAGACGACGCCATCTTCCCGATGACGCCCCAGCGCTATACGAAGACGAAATCAAGGCGTCCGCAGCCTGGTTTCCCGAATCACGATGGACTCTCAGCGTTCCAGACGATTACCCATTCAAGCATGAGCTCTTCCTCATACTCGACAGCTTGGACGATATCTCGCAAAGCAAGTCCGACCCCGACTGCGCCGACTTGCTCTCTGAGACGCTTCGACAAGCAAGGGAACACATTTGGTCCAACGCCCTCGGTAGATCGCAGGACAGGGATGTCGCCTTTTACCTCGCCGGAAAAGTGGCCGAAGTTTACATAAAAGTGGATGCCGAAGACTCCATGGACCGACTCATGTCCTTTCTCAACTACGTGCACAGCCAAATTGGCGTACTGCCGCTGTCTTGCTTCCACACCCTGGCAGCGCAAGCAGGAATCGCTAGACGCTACGATGCAGCGCTCCAGATATGTGAAGTCGCACAATCGCATCACAGCGGAAAGGCCGACGCGGAGCTTCTTCATCTCCGTTTGCGGGCTCTGATCGCACAGTCAAAAGATGTGGACCTCACCAGGTATTGGGACCTTTTCGAGCGAAGCAAAGTTGCTGTTCCGCGCAAGACCTTCGATCTACTCTTGCGAACACACGTGCGCCGACAGGACCTAGAGCAGCTCAACCACGTGCTGGACGCCATGCCGCAGCACGGACACACAGTCGACGCCAAAGCTTGGCTCACCATCCTCCGCGGCTTCCAAAGCTTCAGACCGACACTCGCGACGATGCTCAGACGGGATGCCAAAATTGTGCAGAGCCCAACTCTCAATGTGGTCAACCAACTTTTACTATTGTTGTCCAAGGAGCTGGACGTAGATGGTGCTCTGATGGTACTGCGCATCTTTCGCATTCCGTCGATTCAGCAAGGTGCGGGCACAGCCGACCTTCCGACACCAGATGATGAAATTTCGATCATCAATGGACCCAGCCCGCAGCCGAACGTAGAGACGTACGCCGTTCTCGCGCACATGTACGGTCGGCTCGGACGGTGGCAACAAGCGCTCGAGTTCTACCGGATGGCGTTGTTTGTTTCTGACAGTCATCGTGACGACGATGCTACCCTCGATTATCTTCAACAGTCCGCCGCGTCGGTCATGAGAGCTTACTTCAATGCCGGGCGACCAGTTCGAGCCATGTCATTCGCTCACGAGGTGCTCAATTTGCCCTACTTCGGAAGTGGCGAAGGCAAGGATGCTCCATCCATCAACTTTGACCTGCCTGCGTCGCCTAGATGCAAGATGTCGCCCACCACATTCCACTATCGCGTCCTTCTCGAGTGCGCATCTGCCATAGGATCCGCGGACTGCGCCCGCAGGATCCTTGTCCATCTCTTGCAGCACGGTCACACGATCGACAAGCAAGTGCTGCGCGGGCTGGCTCGCCTTGTTTTCTCGACCATCGATCAGGACGCGTTCGAGTCGATTCGGGTCATCCGACGGCTGCTGTCCAAGTCGCACGACAAACAGGGCACTGAGCGCAGTCAGCGACTTGAATCGCTGTCCGATCTGGTGCGGTATCTAGGCGCATCCGAGCGAGCCGTGCTGGTATCGCAAAATGCTACAGATCTCGAACGTAGCGCTAATGCCACCGTGACTCATCCAGAACTGCAGCGGTACTCCCTCCACCATTCAACAGGCACGCTTTCAAAGGACGAATTCAGAGACTGGCTCATCAAGGACTCCTCGCCCCTGCTGCCTACTACATCGACCGCCCACAATGCCGTTGATGACGCATCATCGGCACTCATCCAGGATCTGAGCCATCCGCTCTCGTACGAAGCATACGCCATGCGCATTCGGGTCTACGCTGTCGTTCGACGAGACTATGAATCAGCGCAAAAAGTATACCATGCTATGCTTTCGCACGGCGTCAAACCGACCATGATGCATATTGCACCTCTCATCGAGGGCCTCATTGCTGTAGGCAAGCTGGACGAAGCACAGCGATTGAAAAGGAACGCGCGAGAAGTAACGTCGCTCGAGCCGACCCTACGGATCCACACTGCGTTAATTCGGGCGTACGTTCGCGCTGGCGATTTTGATTCCGCTCGCAAGGAGATCAAGGAGTTGACGAGCAACGGCTTCGAGATGGATGATACCATCGCCAACATTATCGAAGCTGCGCAGTCGGGCAGGCGTAATTTTGCGTTGGTGGATCGACCGGTGAACGAGAAAGATAGTCACAGTGTCGCTACGAGGTTCCATTCCTTGATGAGGATGGGCAGATACTTGGCCGCGCAGGAGATGCTGCAAGCTGCACTGGATGCGGGGATGAGGTCGGACAAAGTGCTGCATGATCTGGTCAGGCGCTCGGTCGGGTTCGTGCAGAAGGAGCATGCGAGAGCGCTCGCGTCATCCCCTGCCCACGCACAGGTCGGTCGTGGAAAGCGACGCAGAAAATCCAAGGAAGCTAAGCCGGTTATCGGATCGCACGAGTTCGAGTTAGCTCAAAGCCTCCGTCTGGCCCGGACCAACCGTGAGCGGATCACAAAGTCGATGGCGAAACACTCCGAGATCAAACGCAAGCAGATCAAGGAGCACAGGAAAAAGGTCGTATCGCTCGTGCTGGATTTTGCGGATGGCAAGTTGCATCAGCAGGCGGGTCTGTCGCCGAGCGACAAAGCATAGCTCGAATCTACAGCCTCATCCGATAGAAAGCGCATTGCAACGAACAGGTCATTCTTGTGCGGCCACCAGGGTGGGTTGCGACGGGTGAGTTGCCTATCAGCCAGCTCACCTGGAGTTTGCTCCGAGTCATGTTGATACGGTACCGTGTGCTTGAATATTGAGGACCGGAACAGGACGCAGAAGGGGTGTAGCGCAATGAACTTCTTATCATTGTTCGACGCACATATGAAATGGTAGATCTCTCTTGTAGCTTCGATAAGACAGCCATATGAAAATTTCGAAAGATGAAACGAAGGCAATGGGATGGTGAAAGATTGTGCATCAGGAGGGAAGATGTGCGCAGGTCAAGGAAGGGATCGGTTGGTTCCGCTGATAAGAATGACCCTTGATCGAGGTGGTAAGGTGTATACGGGAATCGACCAACCGGTACTTAGGTACTTAAGGAGGAGCAACAGCTCTTCGTGCCGCTTCCCCCACTCTTTCTAAGACATCACAGCGACTAACCAAGATGAAGTTCTACCCCACACTCTTACTCATCCAGCTGCTCTCCGCTACATCGGCTATCCCAGTACCTCCCTTGAGCGCAGAAGTCTCGTTGTCGGATTCCGTTCGATCGTGGCAAAGTGCAGTTAGCGAGATTGACGATAAGATTTCGGCTGCTACGATGAAGAAGGAAGCATTTGGGAGGCAGGAGAAGTGGATCGGAGGTGTAGGGGCTGGGTTGACGACGATGGGTACGGTGGGGTATGTTGTTAGTAGTGCGGTTCCGGTGATCAGGAGGCAGAGGGAGAGGAGCGCGTTGAAGCAGCTGAATGCTGCTTTGAAGGCAAAGGGCTGCGGAGTGAGGAGAAAGCAGCAGCAAGCGAGCGGGAAGTGGAAGACGAGACGTTCGGCGGAAGAGCCAGTGCTGAATGCTGCGTCCAACTTGGCAAAAGATGGGTTGGATGAGGACAGGGAAAGCTTTTCTAGCGCACTCAGTCGGTCTTCCAGCGAGAGGTTCGAGGACGTTGACGGCGATCACCGTCTCAAGGTCGTCGATCATGCTACAGACCCAAGGGACTACTATCTGTCCACCTCACCGCCTCCTTCACGCAGACCAAGCCTCGACCTCGACCACATCCACTCACCACACAACCAGGACACCACACCCGATCGCTGGCGAAACGACATCGAAGACCAACTTCACACCCTCTATTCCTCCATCGTCGACCTCAAGCACCATCAGCACGATCAAGTCTCGACATTCTCACCTTTCGCCAAGACGATGATCGCTGTTGGCGCGTTCAACGCTGTCGGGGGAATTGTGTCTGCTGAACTGAGTGCACAGAATGCGGTCCAGAGTGCGTTCATGAAGCCTAGATTGCCAGATGTCAGTGGGCTGGACAGGAAGACATGTGATAGGCTAAGGAGGATGGTTCCGGAGTTGGACTGTGATAAAGCACGCGGAGTGGGCAGGTAGATTGGCGAAGCAGCGGAGTGTGCATGAAGAGGGTGGGGGATGGAGTCTGGACCGCGGGCACGATTGATTGCTTCAGCAAGGTCGGGTCGGAGTTGCGGCGGCGGTGAACAGGTGCGGAGACGAAGCGCATGATACTGTACAGCTATGGCACGCGTGGATTGCGTATCGCCGCTCACAATTCGCCTTGGCATTGTAGAGCAGTACAAGAGCCACGCTAGGGTCAACACCCACACAAGAATGGGAATAACTGACTGTTCGCCGTTTTCGAGTGGGCTCGAACGTAGCACAATGTGGCTGTGATGATTCGAGGTCTAGCTACGAGGCATACAGTACGCTGCAACCGCCACGGTACGGACAAGCAAATCGTTTTGCGAGCCTCAGCAACCGTAACGGAGGCTTTGTTTGTCGCTTGCTGAGGGAGCGTGATTTGTTTGTTTGTCTCACCCTGTTCCTGTCAAAAAGGATCTTCGGCTGAGTGAGGCCGGCCGCCTTGTGGATCTGCAAGTGTTTGTGCACGCGTGGGACGCGTCCTATGCCTGAACAACCTCGCTGGTTGAGAAAAGTGTCATGCGGACTGCAAGCTCCGACAGGTCCAGCCGAGACCATCACTTTTTTGATTGGGACATTTTCGGCATGGCTTTCCCACCATGCATCGCTTCTCGGCAAAGCCGGACGTCGGAAATGTGATTATAGAAAGGGGAGATGAATTCGGTGATGAAGTGACAGCGGGTTGACAGCGCCGATCGTTTCATGTGGGACTTTGTCATTTGAAAGCGGTGTAAGTTATTGTGATGGCAGTTCGGTGTGTGACCTGGGCACCTCTTCATATGGTATTCAGTACCATGTGTTGAGTTCCTGTCGCGACTGCTTTCTCTGACGTCCTAACCACCCGTCATCACCACCGAGCACCCCCTACAAAAGCTGTCACTATCACACTACAGTCAAAGAGTTAGGGGACGGTCATTTCAGCTACGAAACTTTGGCACAAAGCCCGGATCGACTACCTGGCTCCGTCATCCGTCTCGATCCTCACACCTTCCACCATATCGACGGCCTCACGCTTGACTACAGAAAACATGCAATAGATCGTCGACATCTGCGAGTCGTTCGACTCACCTCGACTTGCCAACACTGGTACGCTTACGCCACGAATCACACCAAGTTCATCGCCATGATGCCGTCTCCGCAAGTCGACCCGAGACTGCCATGCTACGAAGGTCACTTGACCCTGAACCGTGCCGTGCTTGTTGATGGTCTAGACTCTAGCAATAGTACCGCATGGACTGAAACATGGTGCAGCCTCGAGGATGGAAGGCTTCTCGTCTACACGGACCGTACCGCGGCCTTGATCAATCCCGAACAGACATGTGCCGTGATCGACGTTCGCAGCTTTGCTGCTGTCCAAGCCTCGAATATCGCTTCCGAATACGGCTACGAGCTTATACTCAGCCTGTCTCCCCCCGAATCCACAAAATCCGGCCGACTCTTCCGCCCGAAATCAGCCTGGAGCCTCAGTAGACCCCACTCAGACTCGCCACTTAGAGATGCTGATCTGGAATCGCAACCTCGCAGCTCCATGGCTTCATTCAGCCGTGCCAGCTTGCGTGGCAGTCCTCTAACCTTGAACGGAGCATCGTTCTCATCGACCAACGTTGAGCTCTACAACTCTGACTCAGCTCAATCTCGCTCTTGGTCAAAAATTGCCTCGGGGTCACGTAACCTCTATTCCAAAGCCTCTACGTCGTCCAATGGCAGCCTTCGCAAAGATGTACGCACCGTCTTCCATCCTGACTCTGCTACATCAAGCGCCTCTTCGTTCTCCGCCACAAGGTCGTCATCAGATACCGCAACGAACGGTGTAGCCTCGCCTTGCACACCACTCTCTCCAACCTTCAGTGCGTCCTGCGAGCGCATCGTCATGGGCGTTGCCTCTCTAGAGACACTGCGCAGCTGGTCTGATGCCTTCAAGTTGACGATCAAGTTGTACAACGAGATGGACTTGATCCCATTGCCCTTGCTCGGACAGAGAAGGTCGATTGCCGGGCAACTCTCCTTCAGTAACCTAGCTGGCTTTCGCACACGAGCGTCTCTAGCTGCAAGTCCGGTTTTCCCCACTCACGAAATGAGCAGCGACGCAACTCTGGAGGAAACCACCCCGAAAGCATCTCGCAAGCGCCACGCTTCGGTGACCAGCTTTGCTTTCGCCTTACAAGCCTCCAGCCACCTGCAGCAACAGACCGATGTTCACCCTACAGCACCTCGACAGGACCGGCCACGGTCAGTCTTGGACAGAGGTTCTGGTGGCGTCCCTCTGACTGAACATCATCCTGTCGGCAAGACGGTGGAATGTCAGCCAGTTACGATCGGTAGACGATCCTCGTTCGCCCCGGAAGCTTTCGCGATCCCAAGCACGAAGCGCGAGGAATCCAAAGATCGACACAAGCGTTCTTTCTCTACAGCTTCCTCGTCCCTGTTGTCTTCGGCTATTGATCGTCTGTCGATCAATCGACGAGACAGTCTTTCGAGTGGACAGCCGTTGGCCTCGGGTAAGACTTCATACACATCAGTTGCAGGAGTCGACGTGAGCAAAACGCCATCGCAAGACAGCTTCTTGCAACCTCAAATTCAGGACCGCCCACAAAGTCAAAACATCGCCGAGTCGACAGCCAGAGATACACCGCCACCTTGCAGGCATCGACGATCGGGATCGCTCCTACATTTTGCCTCGACGAGGGTCATGGCTTGGAGAGATGTCACCGCAGCAAGTGCTTCGAGCGAGACGCGACCACCGAATGGTCTGGGATTCGAGGTGGATCGACGTGAGACCGTCAGTGGCAACCAAGCCGAGAGGAAGACAACGAAGAGCTTTCAGAAGTTCAGGTCGCTGCGTTCCCTGGCCAAAAGCAAGCCGGTTCTCGGACAAGGCGGCCTCGACCGCCTGTCGTCGTCGATATCGAGAGGCAGCGAGGACCGGGGTGGAGATCAAAGCTCGGCCTCGGTCCGGTCTGCCATGGCCTCGACAAAGGGCAAGGGGATGTCTAGGACCAGTTCATTGCTGAGTTTGACGAAGACGACTTTCAGCTCCTTGCGTGGTAGGGCGTCCTCGCGGCAGGATGTGAGGACAGTGTTTGCGGCTCCGCATAAAGCTGACGGTGGCGGTGACGAAGACGAGACTTTGGCTGGCGATTTCAGCTACGAAATTGTGAAGGGGACACAGGAGGGAGGCGCGGTAGGGTCGGCGCTGCTTCCTTCGGCGATTGCAGACGGTGCGTCGCAGGTCAGCCTAGCCGGAGCTCCGGATGTCGACCAGCTGTCCCGGGCCAGCGGTTTGGACGTCGATCCCGCGTTGGCAGCAGGTCCGGCCGAGCTGACTCGACATCCATACAGCCTATGGGATGATGACACATCATCACCGCGTCTACCTGTCGAACGCATCCTGCCTCCCGAGCAGATAATCCGGACGTTCGACGAGCTTCGTTACACCCCGCAGCCTAGCCCTCGATCGACGCTTGGAGATGCAATATGCGGACCATTGCTGCGAGCGGCTGCTTCTCAGACCTTTGTGCGTGGCGAGGCGAGTCAGAATTTGCGTGGGTGCGTGTCGACCTGGGAGCTGGGCGGGTTGCAGGCGGGGGGTCGACGGGCGGTGGAAAAGTCGGATGCACGGGTAGCACAGCGAAGGGTGGCCGGGGAGGTGGCGTTGCAGAGGTCGCTGCCTGCGCCTCCGAGGGGCAGACGGCGTGCAAGGCGGGTCGCGTCACAACCGGTCATGGAGAACGATCAAAACGGAACGGTCGAAAAGGAAAAGATGAGCAGGAGTGCGTTTGGTGACGTGACGAACATCAAAAAGGACGATTCAAAGACAGGTCAAGCGGTGACCACGAAGTCGTCGGTGGACAGAGTAGGATTAACCTCGTCAAGGAAGCCGGGTAGGAGCAGGGGTGCGGTTGGTGTGGATGCAAGTGGATGTTTTTGATGAACTGCTGTATTTCTAATGCATTGCGAAACGACAAGTACGACACAGAACGACGATCTGATGTAGGAGAGATATGATACAGAGAGATGCGTTTGAGGGAGACTCACACATGGACAGCTACACCTGCGCTGCTGGTGCCCAACACGGACGCTACGACAAGCGCAGCCGTAGCCGCGACGACGATTCCACCCACCGCAGCGATCTCGCCTCTAGCCCAAGGTTTGACCGTCACACTCGGCTCGAGAAGAATCTTGTGCGGTGATGGAGCTTTGTCCTGCGGGGAGAGACGAAGGTCGGGTGGCAGGAGCGATTCGAAAATCTCGGTGTTGAGGTCGAATGCGGTGTTCGCTTCGACGACCAGGGCGTGGATTCGGGCGGCGGGGAGGGAGGTGAAGTTTGATTCCATGGCGGTTCGGAATCTTGTTTTCAAGTCTTGACCGGAAGTGAAGTGGTAGAATTCGAAGCCGAGATGTGGGGGTTTGTCGGTGGAAGCGAGGATGGGGAAACGCTTGGATACTTTTTTGAGAATGTGTTGTCCACCGGAGAGGTCGCCGAGGTAACGGGTGTATGCATGGGATAGCAGGAGACCTGCGTTGGTGGTGTTGGAGAGGTCGAGAAGGGAATTAACGTACGTCAGGGTGGAGGATGTTTGAGCTGGAGAAAGGAGATCGATGTGATCACGAGTCAGGGTCGTGTCGGGTGACGAAGTTGAGACTAGTCGGAATAGTGTCTCCCTGTTGACCGGAGCTTCTACATCCACTCCCGCTGCGGCAACGTTGGAGGAAGCGAAACTTCTTTCTTCCCTCGTCTGATCCGCAAGATCTACCAAACTCGACCCCGTGTGCAGCTCGACCACCTCCAGATGATCCTCCACATCCCTCCCCAACGCCCCTGCCCTCGTCAACTCCTCCATCAAACCTCCCTCAAACAAGGCCCCCACCAACCTATCCTCCTTTGACTCCTCCAAACACGCCTCGAGCACACTATAAATGCACGCCAGCTGAATCAAGAACTTGACATAGTCGAGCCTGTCAAACTTGAGCTGCGCCTCGACAGCAGCGGAAGGGGAAGAGACGGATTGGAGGAGGAGCGAGACTCCGCGGGATTTTTCGACGGCACGATGCGATGCGGCTGTTCCGATTCGAAGCGCTTCTGACAAAGATGTTGGGTGGGCGGAGACGGATGCGTGGTGGGGGTGGATGTGTGTCGAATGGTAAGAAGAGGTGGTTGAGGAAGAGGGGGCGATAGGGAGGATGCTGACGAATTTGGCGAACGGACACGTCATGGTCGCAATGAGAGCAGGACGCGAAGAGGCTATGCGGGTTGCAGAGGTGACGGGTAATGAGCTGATGCTGATGCTGATGCTGATGCTGATGCTGAGCAGACGTACGAAAGTACAGTGACGGTTGTCGTGTGTTTCGTGCCGAGTGATGATGTTAGGGGGATCGCGAGGGTAACGGGGGGCCGATGCAAGCCGCTTCTATAAGTACCTTTGGAAACGCTGAGTCGGCGATGCGGAACACGACGTGCTCTTCCTCTGCACTTTCCGTGAATCGTAGGTTTCCAGAGCGATCTTGTCAAGCAACGTTAAGGCCAAGGTTTGGACACCGAGATTGTGGTGATAATGAAACAAACCTGTAAACCATACGCATGCCTCGCAAAGGGGTCTCTCTATCAATCCCAGCTCCGAGATGGGCGCGGTGCCCTTTTGTTCCCGCCCGCGCGCAAACCGAGCATCCGGCAAAAAAAAAAAAAAAAAAA